GGGGTTGGTCAGACCCCTCTGGGAGACCTCAGAGAGCTGGGACTGATCCCTGTCAGCATCTGCAGGAAGCTGGATGTGTGACCTCACATGCCTAAGCTATACCTAAGCAAGCAAAGCCCCCAACATGATGCTTGAGAACCAGCCTGGATTATTATATACCCAAGCTCTGATTAAAGGTGGTTGGGAACAACATGTGAGCAAGCATCCCTCAAAGAAACCTGAGCTCATAAACTGTATCTTGAGAAAACTGAGCAGGCAGATGGAGATGGAGAGGAAATCCTCTTCTGCAGCTTGCATCAGTGTGTTTGAGGAGAGCTGTGCCATGGAGCAGCAAACACCATTCCTGAAAAGCACGGTTGCTGCGGAGACCAGGGGTAGTCAGGACATGTGACAGTAAGGTCAGTTTGAAGTGAGTGCTGTTCTGGTCACTGGGAGGTCTTGGAGATGTGTTTCGGGTTGGGAGGGGTTGGGCTGGAGTTGCTGCAGCAGCTGTGTGGGTTGTTTGGCTCCTGGGTTAATGGAGTGGTCTGTGGGTGCAGCTGCACTGTCAGATGTTGTGGTGTGGGAGCATTGCCATGGCCTTGACTTGCTGGGAAAGCAACTGTCAGTCCTGGAAGAGAAAGACTGGGGTGAGCTGGTGTGTGCTGTGGTTGGTGGTGGGAGAGATAGGCTGCTGGGTAAGCTGGTTGGACCTCTAACCATGGCCAGCTTGCACAGCCCTGATGTGTCCTGAGGGGTCTGGGTCCACAGCATCTCCTCCATCCTGTCCCACCAAGAGCTTCACCCTGCCTGTCACCAAGCTGTTGTAGTCTTGCAGGATATCTGCGTTTCCTCCCGCCACCCTCATTTTGCTTTCTCTAGTTTTGCTTTGAGTTGTCTCCAGAGTTTCTTCTCCTCTCTCTTCCTCTCTTTGGTGGGATGTAAAGCTCAATGAGGGTGCTGACAGGCCAGATCCTGGTGTGTGGGGCCTCGGAGGGCCAGGCAGGAGCCCTGGGCCTGCTTGCTCTGCTGCCCCAAGATCAAACCCACTGCCTATAGCTCTGGGGCAGAGCCTTGTTGGAAGGGGCCAAACTGTCTCCTAATGCCTGGAGGGACCATAACAAGGCTCACCAAGTGAACAAGGAGCCCAAACCCTTGTGAGGTGATACCTGCCCACACCTTCACATCCACATGCTCCCTTAAATCTCTCCCCATTGCTCAGCATCCCTCTCCATCCCATAAGTCCAGGATGATGGGACAATGGGCCCCCTTTATAGTCCAGCTTGGGCACAGCCCCATTTCCAGAGGACCTGATCCTCCTTGCCTCAAGTACACCCTGGAACAGGTGGACCCTTCTGCTCCAAGGGTTTGGCTATGAAGACAGTCCAGCCTGGAAGGGAACCTATAGCCATTGCTTGTCCCTAGAGGTGGCAAGTCTCATCACGACAGGGTGACAACCATTCACTGTCAACAGCAGCGAGGTTGGAGGGGGACTGAGGCACAGATACTGGGCAAGGAGCTGTGTCCTAGGGGGATACGGATGCCTAATTCACCATCTGCTTCAAGGAGAGGAAAAAAGAGGATCCAGGAAACTCCAGATGAGTCAGCCTGCCTTGGTACCCCGAAAACTGCTGGAAAAAATTAGTAAGACCATCAAGTGGTAAACACTGAGAGGGCAGTGCTGGGGCTAAGAACACGGATTTAACAGGAACACATGTCAAACCAACCCCATTTTCTCTTCATTAGGGTGATGGGCTGGGTACCGCAGGGAAAGTGAGAGTGATGCTATCTTTGTGCTGCCTTATGTGACATTCTCATTAGCAAATTACGGAAATGGGAAATTCTGCCACTGTGGGTGGATGGCTTCCCAAGAAGCTATATCCTACGAGCAGTTATCAATAGCTCATGACAGCAGACACATCAAACTTTTTCTGGGGAAGTATGGCTCACATGAAGGCAAGATGCTATTGAGGGAGGATGTAGGGGCTGTCTGGGTGGAGGGTTAGAAACTGAATTCACTTTGATGACCTGGAGAAAAGGCCAAAAATGTCCTGAAAGAATGACTGATAGAAAAGATTTGGGTGTGCTCAGTGCAGGATAAGATGAGGGATGTCTTCAGAGTGGGAAAAAGCCCAGGTATGAAGCAAGCAGTGAGAAGTGTTTAGGATTCTGCCCTGGTGTTCAGATGTCAGTCCATCTGTCCTGTAAGTCCATGGACACAGCATCCCCACTGCTGAGGGGATGTCCCTGTCTGCAGTCCTGCCTGGGGTCCGAAATTGGATGTCTTTTTCTGTCCTTCCCAAGGACTGCTGATAGGATGGAGACACCTGGGTATGGGGTGACCCATCCCAAAGGAAGACATGGGGTACACACAGGCAAAGCAGGGTCCTCATGGGCAATGTGGGCACTTTGTGCCTGGACTGGAGGCAGGACAGGGGCAGGAAGGCTGATGCAATGTGAGAGATGGAGAGGAGGAGAAAGAACCTTGGGAAACCTTTCTGCTTGTGTCAGGGCAGCTTGACCAGGGGTGGGAGCTGAAGTGGAAAAATAACTTCAGGCTGTGTGAAAGCAGCAGGGAAATTACCACTTAGGCTGCACCTTGTGTGCTACCTTCATGCATCCCATAGAAGAGCCATGGCCAGCATGCCAGGATGGGGAGGATTGTCAGGGTCTGTCCCCAGAAAGGGCTGCCAGCCCAGCGTGGTCGTGCTGTGTCTGGGACAGGGCTCATCCCTGCTCCCTGCTGAGGCTGGGCTGTGGTGGGATCCTGTGGGAGTAGTTTGTGTTTTCAGACAGGTACTGGTAAGCAGCAAGGTGCTTGGGCAGAGCCAGGAGGTGTGTGTGTGAAGTGGAACAGGACGTCAAAGCAGTTTCAACTCCGTGGGTGGTTCTGGGAAAGTCCCTTTAGTAAAAGCAAGTCAAAAGCTTTAATAGAGGGACCAGCACCCAAGTCTGTCTCAGAGATGACTATGAGGGCTCAGCACATTGTGAGTCATGATTTGAGTTGTGTTGCCATGACATAACAGGTGATTGGTTTCCATCACAGCCAAGTTCTGGAGCACCAGACATGCCATGTTGAGCAGTGTGCCTGAGGGGCAGCATTTTCACCCTTGGGGTGGGAAGTGTGGGAAGTGGTGCCTGTCCTGTGGGGAGCATCTCTCTGCCCTGTTGCAGCAGCCTCGTGGAGGAAGAGCTAGGCTGAAACCACAGATGCCCTAGATGAAGTGATCAGTTTGTGTGAATGAGAGTGCCAGGAGAGAGGGCTGTATTCCCAGGGGGCTCCTCCTCCTCAAAATAGCCCGAGGTGTTTAACATAGGCACAACTACCCTAGATGTAAAGGGGAGATGTCAAAACCTTTAGATTTTTTCCACCCCCCGCCCCAGGGCTAATCTTGGACCCTGACACAGAGTGGTCCAAGGGCACTGGCAGATGCTGCAGGGTAGGTGCCCCATCCTGGTCACCTGCTGCTTCTGGGCCCCCACACCATGCTCGGCCACAGTGATGCCAGGCACCACATGGTGCCAGCTATGAGGCTAGCCCTGCTCCTGCTTAGGTCCCACTTTCTGCGCTGGGAGATTTGCAGCCCTGGAGGCCTCTGTGGTAGGGTGCATGAAAGGGTCTTCTATAGTGAACCTATAGAAGTGGAGCCCTGGGAAAGGAGTGAGAGGAGGCCAAGGAGATCTGCTGCTTCTTCTGTTCCTCCCCATGCACCAGCCCTAGGTCAGGGATGTCTCCTGTTCACTACCTGGAAGCACTGAAAACACTGGTGGCATAACCCTTCCTTCACTGTCCTGTTTGTAGTTCACTGCCCTAGCCCAAGCAGGACTCCACGTACCCACGGTAGGTATCTTTGGAAGCTGGACTCAGGTCCTATCCACTTGACTCCTCTACTTCCAAGAACCCTCTTTCTTTCCTTCTAGTCCAGCTCCAGATCATAGCATCAAGGCGTAATTAAGAGTGGAAGGACCTCAAAGCAGGAAAGAACCTTGAAGCTGAAGATGTGCTTTGCCGCAGGATCTTGTCGTCTCCCTTCTCTCTCACAGGAGGGGCAGCACACATTGCAAAGGTGTTGAAAGGCTGTTGGTACAAACAACTTGCCAGCTTTTCCCTTCCAGCAGCAAAGATCAGAGGCTCCCTGCCAGTCTGTGGTTGCTGGGACTTATCTGCATTGCCTGCCTGGAGCTGAGCCTGCCTTATCAAGTAGCAGATCTTTCTCTAACTCAAGAACAGTTATTATTTGGCATCTTATCTAACCTGCTCCCTGTCCTGCACTGCTCTCCATGGCATTTCCTGGGGGATCTATACACCCAGCGGTAGATGAACTGGGAGACTGAGGGTTGCAAGCAGTCCCAGCCCTTCTATTTATACCTTTCCTGGGTGCTCTCAGCTCAGAGCACGCCTCACCTCTTTTGCTTTTATGTGCTGTGCCATCCTCCCCAACTTTCCACCCCGAAGTTTCATGTCAGGCCTTTTTCTGCTTGAGCTGGCTGAAAGTTGGTAAAAATAGTCCATGGTTGGTGGCACCTATTGACAGAGATAAGGTTACCTGGAGCTTTATCAGCTGCTGACTCTTGCATTTTCAGTGAGTTTTGCTTCTTTTTTCCTAAATTGGGCACACTCTCTGTTGGTTTGCCCCACTGCTGTGATAGTGATGGGCACAGGCAGCCTGGCAGGGGGTTTTGTTTCCAACCTCTCTGCCTATGGACAGAGCAGCATATGAGAGCATGGCTTTGCTGAGTCAGGGGTTCATGTGTGGATCTTGAGGAGACGCACCTTGTCCTTGCTTTGGGGGACATTTCACCTGGCCAGGACCTGGTGCAGTGTCAGCAGAGACCGTTGATCCAGAGATTGGGATGGGGCGGTTCTACTCATGTGAGAGCAAAGGTTTCCCTCTCTGAACACATGTGCAAAGAGGAAGGGTTGGTGGAAAAGACAGTTGCACATATGTATTAGCCCTCAGAAACCATAAGCCTGACCTGCAAGCTCGGTCACTGCCTCTTCCCCACCTCCAGGTAGAACCATGAGGACCTGGCAGGACATTTTTGCAGAAAAGATTGCGGAACTGCACTTATTGGAGCCATGGACACTTCAGGAGGATGATACCCTGCAGGTGCAGGTCCTTGGGCCTGACTGGAAGGAGTTTGTGCAGCACCGTGCTCCTGGGAGGTAAGGGGCTCATGGCTTGGTCCCTGTTGGAGTGGAACCTTTTCCCTTTTCAAGATTTGCTTGCAGGAAACATGTTTTGACACAAAAGTGGCAGTTTGGAGGTGGGTGAGACTGGGAAGGGTTTTCCCATTTTTGTTTGAAGCTTAGTGGATTATTGCTAAACTGGAAAACATAAACATTGGAGGGGAGAAGAGTGCAGCAGCTCCACAGGGCCAAAGGGCAGCTGGTATTTGGCCAGAATTTCTTCATGTTGATATCAAGATGCAAAGTGCTCCTCCAGTGAGCAGGGGTAGTTACATCACACTAGAGCCAAATCTTCTGGTTTGCACCCAGATGAGGAGAGGGAGAACCACTGTATGCTGGGATATGGGCAGTCCCTGTGCCTGCACCAGGCTGTAGGGTCTTGGAGCAGTTAGGGGCTGTGGCTCTGCATTTTTGATGAGAAGCCCCATCCTGAACATTTCCTGCATTGGTCAGACTCAGGTGGCAGCAAATGGAGATCTTGGCTGCCAGCCCCTGTGCAGATTGTACAAGATGAACAGCTGTGTGTTGCATACCTCTTGACTCCTCAAGACATCTTCTCACTGCCCTGCAGCCTCCACCCACACCTTCCTTCTATTTTACTTTCTTTTTTTGCTTTCCCTAGCCCTGGGCTTGATGCTGGCTTTCTGCTGAGCTGTGATGAGCTGGCATGGGTGAGGAGCTTGGAGTCCCAAATAGGAGCTTGATATTTCCCACCCCAAGGACCCCTGCTCTTGGCAGTGGGGCCAGGATGGGCTAGGAAAGGTGACCAGGGTGGTCCCAGCAGACAGCCTGGCTTCTAAAATCTTTAATGCTGGGGCCAGACCTCAGCTCACGTCTGTGGTGAACTTCCCAGAGTGGCATCATGCTGTTAGGGGGAGGACAGTTCAGTGTAGAGCTTGCATGAGTGAAGCTAATCCATCAGACCTGGCTTTCCTGGTCCCTACTGACTGTGTGGGAAGCCTCTGGCTCAGCATGGGGAGCCTGGGATGAGCTGTTCTCCTCTGTGTCCTGACAGGTTTCAGTGCTCCCAGTGCTTTCATGTGTGGTCTTCGGCCAAAGTGCATATCCTGTTCCACATGTGCCGATGCCAAGGCTGGGGCGTGGTATGGATGCGAATCTTTCGCCAGAAATGTACGCACTGCCCCAACCCCCAGCTGGAGAATCCTGACTTCAGCCTAGAGACTGTGGAAACGATTCTGCACAACCTGGTGGTAAAGATCCTCCAGTATTTCTACAACAAGCCTGTCCAGCCATGTGACCTCCTGGAAGTTGTGGTGGATACACCCGTGGCGGGGCCACACAACAGTGCCCACTGTGAGGCCTGCCAGCATGGCATTTGCAACAAGTCACGGCCAGCCCTGGCATCAGGTGCCTGGAAGCCCTTGACAGATGTGGACAAGGCCAGGACCCATCGCATCAAGTCACAGCCGGCCCTGGGTGTGGATATCAAGAAGCTCTTGAGGGATGTGGGCAAGGCCAAGACCCATCGCACTCAGTCACAACCAGCCCGAGCAGGGTTTGCCTGGAAGCCCTTGACAGATGAGGATGACACCTTGAAACGCCAGGGATTAACAGCCCATGCGACCTCGACCCACGGCCCCTCACCCTGCAATAGCAACTTCCCCTTGAAACGCTGCTGCTGCATCAGCAGCATTTTGCTCTGTGTTTTAGCAGTGATTGTCTTTCTTGTGCTTTATTTCACCATAATGTAATGGGACCTCAGGATTGCAGAGGAAGTGGGGTGACAGCTAGGAGAGCTGATGGACTGCCTGGAAAATTGGGTACCCAAGATCAGCCCTCGTTCATGGCTCAGCTAGGCTTCCCTGGCTCCTGGTGGCATGAGGGCACATTGGGATGCCTCAGCCGGGCACCTTGTCCCACTGTCTCAGGAGGCTGGTGTGTCTGGTGGCTTCTTGTGGGACATATTCTGCATGAGGATGGCTCTCAGCTACCTTATTAAAGGATGAGGTTTATTACTTGCATGAATAATACAAGTCCTTTCTCCTCAGCCCAAGGAGGCATTTATGCTTTTTAATTTCTCTAAAACCTTTTCTGGGTGTGTGTGAGCAGCTTAGAGAGAAGCTGGGGCTGCCTTTGTCCACCAGCTGAGCTCATTTTCCAGGGAGGCACATTCCCCAGTCAGCCCTGCCTTTAGCCTGGACAGAACTGGGCATCCAAAGCAGCTGAGAGGCACATAGAGCTGGAGGTTTGTAGCAGAGTCATGGGGAGCTGGTGCCTGTTGACACTGGGACTGCTTCCTACGAGTTGTGTACAGCAACATCTGCCCTGGCCCTGTGCACCAGCATGTGTCCCTTGTGTCATCAGGGGCCTGGAGGTTGCTTTGTCCTTCAGAAACATCTGAGTGCTGAGCTTTCATAAGGGGACTCTATCAGGGAATGTAGTGATAGGACAAGGGGTAATGGTTTTAAACTGAAAGAGTATATTTAGATTAGATATCAGGAAGAAATTCTTTAGTGTGAGGGTGGTGAGACACTGGAACAGGTTGCCCAAAGAAGCTGTGGATGCTCCATCCCTGGAAATGTTCAAGGGCGGGTTAGATGAGGCTTTTAGCAGCCTGGTCTAGTGGAGGGTGCCCCTGCCCATGGCAGGGGAGTTGGAATGAGATGATCTTTAAGGTCCCTTTTAACTCAAACCATTCTAGGATTTTATGACTATGGCTCTGAAAAACACCCTGGCAAACACAAACCCCTGCCAGCTGGCACTCTGCAGTGGGGGCAAAGGGTGTCCAAAGTTGGCAAGAACAAGAAGGCTGCAGCAGCAAGTTCCAAATCTATGCCTAACTGGGTCAATCATGGGGAAGTTGTACTTACTGGGCTACAGGGTCTGGGCAAAGGGGAGGATATTGATTCCTGCCTGCTGCTACTTAACCCTGCGGGGCTCTAGAATGTCATTAAGTTGGGAGGAAACCTGTTGTCCTCCTGCAGCTTGACACCCCTCAGACTCTTACCTTCCATGTGAGGTTTCTACTGGGGTCTTGCAGGACTTACCTGTGGGAACAGCATACCCTGTGGCCATGACTTTGGCCGAGGAAAATGAGGTGAAGTTGGCCTGTAAGTGTTTGTGTCCTGGTTTTGGCTGGGATGGAGATAATTTTCTTCCTAATAGCTGTGATGGTGTTGTGCTTTAGATTTAATATGAGAATAATAATGTTGTTAACACACTGATGTTTTAGTTGTTGCAAGTGGTGCTTACCCTAAGTCAAGGACTTTTCTGTTTCCCCTGCTCTTCCAGGGAGCAGATGCACATGGAGCCAGGAGGGAGCATGGCCAAGACAGCTGACCCAAACTGGCCAAAGGGATATTCCATGCTGTAGAACATCATGCTCAGTGGATAAACTGGGGGGAACTGGCTGTGAGGGGGCTGATCACTCCTGGGGGGCTGGGTTGGATGTCAGTCAGCAGGTGATGAGCAATTGTGGTGTGCATCAGTTGTCTGTCTTGGGGTTTATATCTCTCTTTATTATCTCCCTGTTTATGACTATTATATTTATTAATATTTACTTTGTTTCAATTATTAAACTGTTCTTATCTCAACTCACAGACTTTACCCTTTTCTGATTCTTGTCAGTCAGGATGAGCAATTGTGGTGTGCATCAGTTGTCTGTCTTGGGGTTTATATCTCTCTTTATTATCTCCCTGTTTATGACTATTATATTTATTAATATTTACTTTGTTTCAATTATTAAACTGTTCTTATCTCAACTCACAGACTTTACCCTTTTCTGATTCTCCTTCCCATCCCACTGGGGCACAGTGGTTGGACCGAGTGAGAGACTGTGTGGTACTTAGTTGCTGGCTAAGCTTAAACCACAACAGCTTGAAAAAGCTTTTGAAATAGCTTGTAGCCTGCACATCATAAGCCACAAATACAACCATGGCTACAAAAGTAGCCACAGGAGAAGCCAGGAGATGCATCCATCCCCTGAGGAAATGAGGTACCAGTAGTGAGCGTGCAGTCACCAGCCCACTGCTCAGTCCTGGAAGGGTTTAGGAGCAGCTGGGGAGACATCACCCCTTGATGCCTGTGCCATTCTCATTGTATTTTTTTTTGTTTTATTCAATACCTGTCCCAGAGAGGCTGGGCAGTGGTGCCTGGATATGGAATGGCCTCTAGTATCTCCACCAACCTCCTGCTTCAGTGGCCCAGGCATCTGACTGTGCTGGGATGCCATCCCCAAACTGGGGAACATGGCTCACTTTTCTCTGCTGTTTTCCTTGGGATTCATACATTACATGGGTGGTTGAGGAGCCAAACCACAGACAACTGGGGGCTGCTTACCTCAAGCGGCAAGACCTGATGTGAACAGTCCCCAGACTACTTTGGGTACTGAAACTGTTTTTCAGGGTGTCTGTCAAGTTAGTCCAACAAGAGCCAGACCTGCTGAGCCACCAAGGCAGCTGCATCCATCCCCTCCTGACTTTGCAAATGGTTTGATGCTGAAGATGGATATGGTAGCAAAGATTTCATGACTGAATTAATAGAAGAAAGATAGGCTGAAGGAAAGGCACCAGTGCAGCTAGCACAGCATCAGTCCCTGGCAGTGCAACTTCCCAGGTACTCTCCTGTGCTCCTTGCTGTGTCATGCAGGGCTCTTTACACTGCTCACTGTGGATTTGCTTTTTCTGCTGGTGTAAGATTCTGCCGTGTTTTCATATATGCAACCTGCAGGCTATTGGTTAAAAAGAATGAATATATCACGAAAACTCTATGTGATGTAGGAGCCATGTGGATTTGGTTTCTTACGTGCTCTGTCCCGCTTATCGCACCAGCTCTCCCACTTCCCTAGCGCCTTCCTATCCCCGCAGCCTCCGCAGCCCTGGCCACGGGGCCACCAGATGGAGCTGCAGATCTCCGGCACTGCCGTAGGAAGCACTGGGACCAGTGAGCCTCCAGCACCAGGTCGGGACAGCATTCCCCAGATGGAGGATGCCCTCCCCCATTTATCTGTGACCAGCTGTTTCCCTGTAGCATAGTCCCCCCAAGCCTGTCCTACCTAGGTACAGAATATGTCTGTGGATGAGTGGCTGTGCGGGAGAGGAGGCTCATCCTGCAGCCTGGACCAGCTCCCTTTGGTCCTGTGCTGGGAACAGCTCACCCTCTCCCCACCGGCGCTATGCCATGAAGCAGTGACATGGCCAAATTTCTTGCTGCCATTGCCCACAGCCCTCTTCCCTCCAGGCTGAGGTTTTCCCAGCCCCACTCATCATGTCTGGCTGTCTGCAGCCCCCACAACCACCCTCTGCTGGGGTGGAACTCCCTGACCTCTGCCTCAGGAGACAACTCTGGTGGAAACCGCATCCCTGCAGGGGTCCTTATTTTCTTGCTTGAGTCTTTCTGTTCTTTTTCAAGGGCAGAGCCATCCCTTGCTGCCCTGCATGTCTTCTGCACACCTCCCATGCTCCCCCACCCATGTTCTTGTGTGCATATGCTGCTTTTTCCGCAGTCCCCTCTTTGCCACTGCCTGCTTGCCTGCCCTTCTCTTTGTGGTATGTGAGTGTGTCCCCTCCATCATGCAACCCCTTTGTCCCCTCCCCAATACTCAGATCCATCTGTGCATTCATGAGCTTCTCAGCCATGGCCTCATTTTGGGGGTCCTTTTCAGGGTACCCCTCTCCAACATGCACTTGTGCCCATTGCTCACTTGTTCCTTAGCAAACTGCCCTTAAAGTGCTACTTTCTGTGGCTCTTGGCACTTTTGGAGTCCAGAGCAAGCCCTTGTGGCTTGGCTCAGCCCCTAGGGTTGGTGAGCAGTGGCCATTCCCCCAGCTGGCATGGGAAGAGCGAGCCTATCCCCAGAAAGGTGGCTGAGGGATAAAGGATGCTCCTGAGCTCTCGGAGTCCTGTGCGTCCTGGCTGCCCACCCTAGTCTGTTTGAGATTAGGCTCTGCTGCAGCCAACTCTCAGCTCATGCCTTGGCACTAACATGCAGCCAGGGACAGTAAAACTTCACCCAGGGATGTTTTGCTGGGTTTTCACCACAGCCAGACTGATAAATTGCTGTCTCCACGCCTGTCTCCCTGGAGAGATGCTCTCACCACTCTGGCAGGTTGTGAGGTGCCAGAAAATGCAAAGCCTATTGTTGCTCCCACTTTTCTCCTCTGCTGCCTATTCCCAGTTCTGCCAATGCAGCACCCTGGGGCATGAGGCATTCATTGGCACTCAGCAGTGTGGCAGCTTGGGGAGCCGGGGACGAGGGCTGTGTTGCATCAGGGGTTTCCCGGCAGAGCTATTGATGGGAGGTGCAGGAGAGTCTGTATTTATGAGGGACCTATTATAGGGCAGCAATATTTTTTAATGTGCCCCAGAGCAGTCTAGGCTCAGATCCTACAGATGGTGGTTTAATGCTCAGGGGACCATGCCTTGGTTTTGCTTTTTCTCTCTCCTCCCCTTCACCCCCATCATGTCTCTGGACATGTTAGCAGACCTGTGTGTGAGCCAGACCCACCACCCTCTTCCCTGCCATCAGCCCAAAGGAGCCTGATGCTGTTATTTCAGTTCTGTGCCACAGGAAAATAAAGATCAATAACCCAGCTCACAGCCCTGCATCCAGGCACATGGTAGGAAACAGTGCCCATGATTTCAAGCTCTCTCCAAAGGCTGCATTTTGACAGCCTGTGATGCAGAGGTGCCCAGCGGAGCTTTGTCCCTGCCTCAGCTCACATCTGAGCATGCTGCAGAGCCTCTGCTGTGAAAATGTGCTCTCTCAGTCCAGCATCTAGTGGGGATGGGCTGATTTTTCACCCCTTTTAAAGCAAAAGTCACATACCTGTTATTTTTTCCTCATGTCAACTGAACTCAGATTTAATTGCTATTCTCAGCATACAGGTTGCTGCACTCTACTCCTGCCACTGCCCCCATCTTCAGTGATGTGCTAATGCTATAAATAATTGAAGGGCAGGATCTCATCTGTTGCCCTTTTTCGTGATTTGTATTCAGGACTGGTCAGGGTGTCAGCCCATGAAGCTGCACAGGCCATGGCTGAGCAGCCTTCAGAGTGAGGGATGGTGTGAGAATCCTCCTGGGAGTGCACGCATGCATGGCAGACACTAGCAACTAGCCTTGACCATGTTCCTCTTGGAATAAAAGCCTCAGAGTACAAACTCAGTACATATCAAAGTTTTACTTTGTTCTCAGGAGGAAAATTGCAGAGAACCATCCTTACATGACATCAGATATTTTACAGAATGTAGTATCAAAAAAAGGAAATTTATATATATGTATATAAAAATACCTTTCAGTTACATGACATAGCCAAGAGTACAGTTCATAATGTGTCTGCAAGTTCGACCTTCCTCAAGTCTTCTGCTCCTCTACATGTTCTACAACTGGACTTTTGGACAACAGCAAAATGTCAGACTGGCTCATCCACTGTTGGCTTCTTCCTTGCATGGCAAAACTAAAGGACAAGGAGGAAAAGAGGCCCAAAGAAGTCTACAGGCACACAGAGAGGACAGCAGGCAATTTTTGCATGTTGCTTAGAGCTCTAGGAGGGCTTTGCTGGGAAGTGAAGGAGAAGGTGATCTGCTGAAGGAAGGTAAGCTCACCTGACCTTGTTCCTTGGCAGAGCTTACTTGTCTGCATGGGTTGTGGAGGGAGGCTGGGGATATACAAATAATTCTGGTGTGTTAGATGAGTTTGGGTCAGTCTAGAATGACTTGGACACCTGCAATAGGTCACAAGAGCCATGAACAAACACTGAACACCATCGGTAACCTGTAAATGAGCCAAATCAATGGCCTTACAAGCAGTTAAGAGGGAATGTGTTCTAGCAAGAATTAATGCACTGCCATGCAAGACTAGCCAGGTCCCTGAGGAAGAGGTGAAAGCCCAAGGAAGGATGTCTTATCTGAAATGATTCTGCTGAAAGTAAGTGTTGCTTAGGTACAGCCAATGTATTGCTGTCTCATGTGTTGGAAAACTTTCCCTGGGAGGTCTGCTGTGGCTGGAAACTGTTCCAAGAGCTAGTCTAGGGGGAGGAACAGAGAGGGCTTGAGGTGCTAGAGGGTCAGAGAAGTTTTGCTGGCTGGATGTAAGGATGACATTGAGTACAAACCCCACTCCCTGTCCCTGTGTCCTCTGGAGACACTCATCCCACATGGTGGGATATAAGAAGCCCATTTGGGCTGACGTCATCTTGGCAGCCATGGATGAAGTTTAGGGCTAAATGTGAAAGCATCCTCATATCCTTGGAACCAGGTGGGTCTCACCTAAGATGGCACCAGGGAGGGGCAAATAAAAGTAGCAAACTCCCAGGACTCTAACTACTGCTTGCACAGAAAAGTTGTTCCTCAGCGTGGGGAATCTGTGAAGTCCAGGCCTGCCCAACTGGATTTCCTGCACTGTCCATAGTCTCTGTAGCTCTGTAGTTGCATCTTCTGATGGGCAGATCTGGCCAGAGAGTCCTGGGGGTGGGGGCAATTCCCTGTGCACGGTACAAAGCTTTGGTGACAGGGAAATGCTGCTTCAATAGCTATGCCCTTTTCCTGGCTTGGTAGGAAGGTCCCATAAATGTAGGTGAGGCTTGCAGATGGGCAGCACAAGCTGAGGACACCATCTGAGATCTTGCCCTTTGCTCCCTTCCCCCAGCTCCCTAGCAAACATTTCCTAAGAACACAAGCGAAGCGATTCAGGACCAAGTGAAACAAATGACCTGGAGGGCTGGCAAAGGCTTGGCGTGCGCGGAGTATCGTGGCTATTGCTTGCGAAAGACCAGAGTCTGGAGCACATTAAACAATAACAACAAGAAAGGGAGCTGCCGTGGCAGCAGGCTGCTTAGTCACTCATCTCTCCAGCTCTGGGTCCAGAAATGTCCACCTCTCTGAGGAGCCTGTTTTCTTCTCCACCCAGTCCACATAGTTAGAGACCTTGGTGTACACACCGTACACCTGCTTGCTACCACACTCCTCTGGGCCACCCCATGAGACCAGCCCTTGGGCCACCCACCTCCGGGTTCCTGGGTCCTGGATGACGAAGGCTCCCCCACTGTCTCCCAAACAAGTGTCCTTCCCACCCTCGTAATAGCCAGCGCAGAACATGTTCTCGGTCACGCTGTAGTTGCCTGACCGTGACTCGTAGCTGGTCTTGCACTCAGCATGCAGCACCACCGGCAGTTTGACGTACTGCAGGATGTCGGACAGGGTCCTCATGCCTGAGCTGATGATCTCGTCCACTGTGATGTTGGGGTTGGAGATACCCCAGCCAGCCACCAGCCCCAGAGTGTTAGGGTGAGGCCCCTCCAGCTCGTGCTCAAACTGGGGCAGACAGATGGGCATGACGTACTTTCCCATAGTCACCTTCTCCTTCAGCTTGACCAGAGCAATGTCATGATTGTAGTTCTGGATGTCAAAGTCCTCATGGAGGATGATCTTCTCCACTGTCCGGTTGACAGCTTCCATCTTGTTCCTCACATCATGAAGGGCCAGATAGACAGTGACATGCTCCTTGGAGACGGGGATGACAGTCTTGTCCCGCCGCTGAGACCGGAGCACGTGGGCGGCTGTCAGGACCCAGGAGTCTGAGAGCAGGGCCCCACTGCCAAACCATTTGTCATTGGGCACCCGGGACATGTCCTCCACCACAATCAGGGCCTGCCAGGGGAAGAAGCCAGGCTCTGCGTTCCGCCCGCCGATGATCCGCTTGATGATCCCGGGCAGAGGACGAACCGGCCGGCCACACACTGGGGACAGAAAGGACAGGACAGTTACTCCCAGCACTTATCTAGGGAACAAGCAAAAAGGGGCAGATTATGCCACATGGCTGGTTGTCTTCAAACCAAACACTCTCTTTTGCCTTTTTTTGTGGTTTTTTTTTCTTTTTAGTTTCTGGAGTGATTTGGCTGAATCCACGCCCCTTCTGAAGCAAAAGGCCAAATGAGTAATCCTGCAGCCTCACTGACCTGTGAGCTTGCTCAGCCCTTCCCAGACCTTTGAGCCACTTGCCTGGCTCCTGCTCAGTGTGCCAAGAAACCCAGGGGAACACTGGTGGAAGGACTGGAGCTTTACATCAGCCCAGTCTCGCCCCTCACTCTGAGACCTGTCACAAGGTCTGTGTTCTCATGGCCATGGAGTTTGCCCTCCTGGAGGAGATGTGGCTGAAGCAGGCTCAGCCATGGGATGTTGCCTAGCACCATGGGCTTTACTTCTGCATCTCCTCACCACAATTCTGGTAGCCAAACCAGAACCCCTCTGCTCAGCTCTTCAACAGAACCAGAATTAATGCCTGAAGAGCACTGACATGCTGCCTGTTTTGCCTCCAGGAGCTTTATTCAGGCACTGTGGCACAGCATGAGGAAAAGGAGGGACTCAGGATGCCGAAGGTGACTCTGAGAGGGTTGGGCAGGGTGGGCAGGGACAATCCTGTCCCTGGGGAACTTAAACCTTGGGACATGGTTGTTGTTGATGAGGTTAATTCATGCTAGTGGCACCACTATGGAGGGGCATTCCCAGGTGGCATGGGGGTGCTGATGTTACTGGGAGGCTGTGGGAGCTGATTAGGGCTTGTCCTTCTACGTCTGGAAGAGTCCTGAATCACAGCAGCTGAGGTGCTTGTCTCATCCCTCTGATTCTGCAAAGAGAACCCATATCCTCCATGGAAAGTGCCAGGAGTCTGCCCCAATGCCAGCCTTCTGTGCTGCAAGGGGAGAATGGAAAGCCCCACAAAAAGAGAGTCTGACCTCTCAGGGCGATGGGATCATGGCTGAGAGTCAGCCTTAAAACCAGAGCAGGAGCACCAGGAACTGTTAATGTGTATTTGTTGTGGCTGGTGTCTGTATCTAGGAAAAATGTGACTCTAGCAGGGAGGGAGCATGGTGAGTGTCTCTACATGTGCTCCGCACCCCTGACTTTCCCAGTGCTGCAAGGAATAGGAAACATGCTCAGGCAAAGAATTCCTGCGTTCCAGTCCAGCTGGTCTGCTGCACCAAAGCTGATGGCCACCCCAAGATGGTTTTAGAGGAAGTGCATCCAGCCAAATATTTATTCTATTAAATTACATATCAAAAATGCTGACCAGGCTGCAAATGCTCCCACTAATGGCAGAGGCAGGCATGGAGTGGCCTGGAAGAGAAGTTTCTATTGATGGGGAGGTGCGTGAGACACGGGGGAAAATCTGAAGAGCAGCTGGCCAGCTGCTGCCTGCAGATGCCGATCTCAGGAGACCGTCACCCTCTCGCTGGGATTTTCCATTTTCCTGAAGTCTCTCTGACTCCTGTCACTAATCAGGAGGCCTGGAAATGGCCCATGAAACAGCTATGGCCCCAAAAGCTGTCCCCGTATGCTCCCAGCTCAAATTAGTTCAGGCTGAAACATCAAGCAGAGATGCAGGGAGCAGCTGCCGCAACAAGAGCAGCCACAGCCCTGGTCTTGGAGTTCTGTGGGATGCACGGAATTTCTGGGGTCTCTCCTCTGGCCTTGCAGTGGCAAAGCATGGCTGGAGAGCAGATACCCTCTATGGGGCTTGAGACAGTGTCTAAACTCTGGGGTGGTTGCAGCTGCAGCTGCTGCACAGCAGTCAGATCCTTGCACCTCTCCAGAGAGCCATCCCTGCACATCCAACCACAATCCACACCCAAGCTGCCTCCAGGCCCCCAACCTGGCAGCCAGACCTGTCTCCATGCTTGGCTTTGGACAGTCAACATCTCATGGACTTTTGTTTAATCACCAGTGGGCGTCTGGCCTGGAAACTTGCTGGCTGCAAACATTTCTGCCACTGCTTGGGACTTTTCCTTCCCTGCAAAGCAGTTGGGTTTTTCTGCAAGGCTTGAAGAGGTGATAATCACTACTGGATGTGGACATACTGCAAATGGGAGCCGACAGCCAGGTAATGCTTGGCTGGAGCCATCTCCAGTGATACTGGGGGCTGAACATGGCCAGTGGGCACTGACCTGAAGCTGCTGATTTCCTTGTCTGCTGGAGTGGGGAGCTTGGGGAGCCCTGACAGCTGGGGTGGCTGTGAGCCCACTGCTGCTCTGTACTACCAGGATGCCCTCATTACTGCCACCCGGGGCCACCACTGCCCCCTGACAGTCTGGGCCAGCTGGGAGAGCAGGAAGCCTCTGTCCCCACCACCCTCCTTGCCCTGCATTGTGGCAGTTGGATACGTATAGTCAAGGCATGTGGCATGGCCCCTGCTTAGGGAGGCAGCAGGTTAGTCAGGCATGCCAGCATCCCCTCCCTGCATGTCCCTGCTCTGCATCCCTCACCGTGGGAACCAGCTGCCCCAGCAGTAGTACCTGGTTGGCAGGATGGCAGCTTGGTCCCCAGCTCCTCGCTCCTCCAAACCCCCGATGCGTCACATGTGTAGGTGGCTGGAAGAGAGCAAAGTGTTAGCCTCACTGTGGCCCTGGCATGAGGTGGTGCCCTTTGCAGTAAGGAGACACTGCCCAGCTGTTAGGACCCTCCAAACCCTTTTTCAGGGCAGGATGTGATCACCCTGTTACAGTCTCTGTGCTCTATTCCCTTAGGAGCCCTGGTAGCCGTGCCCCCACACAGGAGACAAGCCACCATCCTGAGCATCATTGTCTTGAGCTGTCCAGAGGGTTGTGTGTGCCCTGAGCCTCTGCTGGAGGCTGCCTCCAAGTAAATGCTGCCAATGCCCGTTCTGCTAATGCATACGGGATGCTGGGACCAGATGCACGGGGCCAGCGGGTGTGCAGGGAGATATAAGCAGGGAGACAGGAATGTGAGGAATTCTTTTGGCTTTGCTTGCTAAGGGAGGAGGAAGAAGAAGGGCTGGGGTGTGTACACACCCTTTCTGCTCCCTAGAGCTGGGTCTGAAGGGTGCAGAGACCTGTGGTTCTTGATAAAGATAAACCACCTTGTGGTTTTTCTGTGGTTGTGGACCAGGGGGATTGAGGAGGAAACTCAGTCTAGTGTGATCTCACTGCTATATGTTTAGCTTTGTCTACACTGAACATCTGGGCGCTGGGATGGGGAGGCTTGCAGAGCCCTTACTCAGGCTGGTGGACCTGCTGCTCTCTCCAGTAGCTGCTCCTTTCACAGAGACACTGAAAATTTCCTGGTCTGCAGGGAGCAGATGGCAGGGTAAGAAGGCAGAATGCAGAACACCCACACTGCTCTGCCGAGGCTGTGAAAACACACATGCAAAGCACCAGGCAGGGCTAACTCCACCCTGCCTCATTGTGGAGCAGGATGCATCCAGTCTGACAGTCCAGGCAGTGCAGGCACAGGGTGAAGTGTGTGTAGGCTACATCCACAGCCTGCTGCTTGCAGGATGAGCACCCTGGACCTGCCATCCCAAGCTCTCCCCGCTTGCAAACACGTATGCATGGCCACGCGCCCACCCACACGGTGCCGTGTGGACACCCTGGCCCCAGTGCTCACCAGTGCTGTTGGGGGCCATGTGGTAGTAGGGGTGCTGGCAGTGGTACTGGATGGCTGCTCTGTAAGTGGTCAGGTTGTTCCTGGTGGAGAAGGTGACAAAACCATGTTCCAGCTCCCGCGGTGCTTTGCAGTCAGCAACTGAAAGCCAACACAGAAGGGAGTTTGAACCTTGTTCTCTTTCTTGGGGTGTCCAGTCAGCCAGCAGGCAGCTAGTGCTGGGCTTTGGCATCTGACGGTGCTCCTGTTGGGCATAGCAAGGGCCTGTATAGTTCTGCAGCCTCTTTCACTAGGGCACTGCAGGAGACACAGCCTGACATGGTCTTGGATGGCAGCAGAAGGCTCTCTCCAGGCAGGAGAGCCTGGCTCTGTGAAACCCTCCCCACAGCCACGCTGCACGGACAGGGCATGCAAGTGGCACTGTAGAACACCAGCAGCACAACCTGCCCACAGGCTGTATGGCCAACACCTCTCATGCTGGTGGAGTCCCCAGTTCCCTTCCATTTGGTGCGAGCTCTCTCTGACACACCGATGCAAGGGGAAGAAGCCTGCTTTGGCAGGTGAGATCTGTTGCAATATGGTCATGGAGTATGTCTTTGCATCCCTTAGGAGTGATCAGGGAGTAGCAGCCAGTGATTCACCAGCCTATGCCATGCACCAGGGGTGCTTCTCTATGCACTAGGCTTTGCTGAGAGCATGGCCCCATCCCTCCTGCTCTGGTCTTGCTCACCAAAGCATGCACATAAGCATTTACAGATTAGGCTGAACAACCTGTGGTTGTGGCTGTCCTACAACAGCAGGAGACGAAGGACATCGAGAGCGTGGCTTGACTGGTCTGCAGGCAGAGATGAGGCCAGCAGATGTGGGTGAGACCAGACCTGCTTCAGGACATAGCAAAGTTGGCTCTGCTTCATCCATCGCTGGTGCTGGCTTGATCTGATGGAGGGAGAAGGATTCCCAGGGTGCCATTGCCCTTTGTCATGGCCTGTCCATGGTCCCCTGTCTCCCCTAGATCCTTCAGAGTGCCCTGCCCTGCCTCTCCTCCCAGCTTGTCCTCTGTATTTGCCTTATGCCACACACACCAGGAAGGACCCCAGATTGTGACAGGATTCATCTGCCAAAGCCAGGAGTCATCCCTTGGGAGCTGTGTCTCCCTGCCATGTGGGCAGTTCACAGAACACTCGGGTGATCTGTGCAGCCTCCCCCTGCCCCATCCTGGGGGACCTGCCCCAGTGGAGGGCAAGAACCAGGGACTGATCCTACTTGAAATGCAATGCTGAGTTCTGCTGCATTTAAGATGAGGGGATGAGTAGGGGATAGGTGACTTTGCAGAATGCAGGTCCTGTGGATCAGAGATGATGTGAGCTCCAGGATGTGCTCCAGGATGTGAAGGGGATGAGGACAGCAGCTCTAACTTCTCACGCTGTGATCTAGACTAACAAAGAGAATTCACTAGTATTTCAGTAGTAGCTGGAACTAGGGGTATGTACCAATGTTCAGGGTTGCCTAACTACTTGGGTGAAAAAAAACAGGTTTATGCTGCAGCTCACTATTCACCAGGGCTGGGCTTCCTCCACCTTCTATAGGGACACCAGGTGATAGGATGAGTGTGTGGGTGCAGCCAGGCTGGGTGGAGGCTCTGGGTACCTGTTTCCTTGCAGCAAGGAGGGAATGAATGCCAGGGCACCATCCTGACTTGCACGTCTTTTCTGGGGTTGTTTATGGTTGCAGGGCAGCATTCACTGGCCTGTAGAGCCCATCTCAGCCCTGTGTATCCCCCAGACCTGGGCAGGTCTGATGCCTGGAGAACGACCTCTCACAGAGAGGTGTTGCTGCACCAGTGTCCTAGGTCCTGCTAAAACAGTGAGGGGAGGGTGTTTGTTCTGTGAGCCTTTCCAGACTTTTCCCTCAGGAAAGGGATCATTCAGCATCTCTGTCTTTGCAGGACCAGAAGTGGACTGAGTGTCTCAACACACACCTCCTCCTCTTCTCCCAGCCTCCAGTCCACATCCCACCATCCTCCTAGTGAAGCCTCTGATGCCTCAGGAACTCCTGGGGGTGTGCCCAAGGCTCCTGGGGATGTGAATGGCACCAGACACCAGGCTGTGACCTCCTTCAGCTGCAGTCAGCCTGAGGCCAGCTGGTCCACACCTCTGCCAGGCCAGCAGTGGAGAGATGGAAGAACATCCATTCCCTTGTGTTAGTGCTAGGGCCCTGTGCATGCAGGAAAGGGCTGGTGATGCCAACCCATCCTCCAGGCCTCCTTGGCCAGAGAGTCTGAAACGCACCAGGACTCTTGGAATGAGGAAATGAAGGAGTGTTTCTTATTTGTGACACTGGGCCAGGGAGGAAGGGCAGTGGGAGACTGAATCAAACCAACCAGCCAGGTGGCCATGCCATGCTCCTTGCACAACAGCTGCCTTGGAGGGGGAGCCAAGGCAGCCAAGAGGAGAGGGATTTGGATATGCTGGCAGCTGGCAGCAGCACGTGGTCCCCAGGCAGCGGTGGTGGGCCAGGTGGGCACCCTTCCCACGGGGCAGTGTGGCTGTGAGAAAAGGGGGCTTGACTCCAATTTCCTTCCCCCCTCTCGAGAGACGGAGTTAAGAAAGCACCAGGCGTGGGGGGAGTTAAGAGTGCCATGCTGGTTAGACAAGCCACAGAGATGGATTTGGCAGCCAGGCCAGTGGCAAAGGGAACCTGCCCTGGGGACTGGACAGATCAGAGAGGGGCATCGAGACAGGCTGCCCGTCGGGGCGGCAGGGCCAGTGCCAGCCTCATGCGGCCACTTGCTCCGAGCTGGCTCTTCCCTCTGTCTGGTTGTCGGCTTTATCTGCAGCTGCACCGAAAGCAGAAGGGGAGGAGGAGAGCAGAGAGAGAAAGCCCAATTAGTAGATGAGCAGAAAGAAGCATGCAGGAAACCCAGCCCCCAAAACACCAGAAATTGTTAATGAGCACCCAGCAAGCTGTGCCAGGGTGCTGTGGATGCCAGCGGAGCCACAGCCCTGCTGGGGACCTCCTCATTCTGCTCAGCCAGGGCAGTCTGGGGGCAGTGACTGAGAGAAGCTGTCACAGGTTTGTCTTTAGATTCTCCAGGCTGGAAAGCAGTTTTCATCGATCTTGGCTGAGAAGCTTTCTATTTTCTGATTGCTTTCTAAAACTGTTTCTGCTGTGCCCTGCCTCTCACAGACATCCTGGAGAGGTGGGAGGCTTTGCAGTTTGGAGGCCTGAATTGCCTACTTAGAGGCTTCTTGGCTTTCCAAAACAGTCTAAAAATTTTGTGTATGGAGTCGTATTGCCCAGCTGGAATAATGCAGGCATCATTTAAATTTTCTCCAAAAAAATTACTTTTTACTGCAAAAATTTACCTAGATTTTTGTTCTGTTTCTTTTTTTTCCCTAGACAATGCAAACTTTCATCTGATTACTGTTCAAGCTGGATAAAATCAATAGGAGACTGTGGTAATGAGACTGTAGGAGTGGGGAGCTCCTCAGCAGGGCAGAAGCATCACTGACCCCACAGTTTATAAGTACTCCTTTCAGACACAAATCTATTTAGCAGGTCTGAGAGCCTTCCAATTTCCATTTGGAGTGAGAAAACATGAATTAAAACTCCAGAAATAATCTTTCTTCCAAGGTAAGATCCACAATATTATTTAGAAGAAAAAGGATCTGCTCAGATGAGGAGAGCCTGGATCCCAACATCCTCAGAAAGCATCTCCTGTCTCTCCTAGGAGGACTTGGGATGCTCTCTGATCATGTTTGCTGCTTTTCTCCTCCTTGGGCCAGCCTTATAGCAGACTGAGCAGCAGTGAGAGCCTCCCTGATGCCTGAGGGATTTTGGAGAAAAGGGAAAAGGTGTTATCAGGTACATCTCTGAAGCCTGAACTGAGAGAGGAGCTGGGTCAGATAAAAGAAGAGACAATGCAAATCACCACCTGTCCTTTCAAATAGCATCTCCTTTCTTCTCCCCTTTTCCCCCATTTTAAGGTTTATAAATATTTCTGCAACTTTTCTCTCTCCTTTCACTTAGCTGAGCAGTACCCAGTTTAGGCTAGTACCTGGGACCTGGGTCTTAATAGCCTGGGTCTTAATAGCCTCCACTAGGAAGGAAATTTGGACTAGGAACTAGATCATCCCAAATTGTCTTAGAGTCATCCAATAGAGCCTGTTCTCAAGAGCCAAGCTTGCTCTTTCTTTGGCAGGGAGACAATAAAGTGGCTGGCAAATCAAGTTATGAGTAATCTAAATAAAAGCACCAATCTCCTGTTTGTGGCATTTGGACTGAGCCCTGTTAAGTTATCCAAGAACAAGCCAAAAGAGCTTTGCAGGGTTACGTAGCTTCTCTGGCTGGGTTTGTGGCTCTGAGTAAGGAACTCCATTCTGGCAGGGCATCTCCTTTAGCAAGAAATG